CACACCATTAAACGTTTCTTTATTATTTGAATACACAAAAAGGTAAAACAAAATTCAGAAGTTCTATAAAGGTTTTTTTCTTAATAATACTGAATTTATGAAATTAATAGATGCACCTATTTGTTATTACTATGTTTAATTTTGTTTACAACTATTGACCCATTAGAAAATACATAGTATTAATATTAAATATAACGGAAGTTAAAGAACTACAATAACTAACAATACTTCTTTGCATGATTATTCTAAAATACACCTTATAATTGAAATCTTTAATGTAACAAGTTATTCTAAGGATTAATCTCTGGATGTTTTAGGGCATTGAGTGTAGGGGTTCTTCTCGCGAGTTTATAGCAGTACGCCAAAGCGCTGTAAAAGTGCTTTTTTCCACCACAAGGGATAGGTCGTAGTACTTATTCAATTGTGGCAGCGAATGGTCAACATCATCACTGCACTACACAGAAGTTAACGCAATCAAGTGGACAAAATATGATCCTTTACGTAATGCCTCTTGGTTGATGTTAGAAAGGTTCATGGTCTACAAATACCAAACATGCCATTAACGAGGTTTGAAGTTAATCATAGGACTGCAAATTTAGGTAAGATTTTAAAACCTGTTGTAAATTATAATAATTTTTTTACTTTAAATAGACAAAAATATGGTTAAAAGTGTTTTATAACAGTTAATTTTATTAATAAAGTGTTACATTTGAACTTTTCATTATTAATTTAGCCATGTTATTGTTTATTAAAAAAACTGTATATTGCTATCTTACTATTTTTTTCTTTACAGAACATAACAATACCCCAAAGAACTGTAAAAGTTATGTACAATATTTTATTTGATATTAAAATAGAATAGGGTATAAATTGATATTGATTAAAAGTATTTAATTACTTTTTTTGTCCGTTTCTACAGATTGACTAACGAATAGGAGAGATTCGGAAGTTAATTTTGACCCTACCAATGAGGACGTGAACTGTATGTACTGGTTTCCTTTCTCAATTTGGTTTGCTTTCCACACATGTAAACCATGGAATGTTATATTCTACAGCAAATTCAGGTAATAATACATATTTAAATTAGTATTAATTACACTTTATTAATCTGTTGCTAATTTGGTTAACAAACGACGTCCTGGAACTTAATGCATAGGAGGACGAGCCTGTATTGCTTCCTTGTATAAATACTGTTCGATTGACCATTATTTAGTTAGAGTTATAGGTAATTGCGAACTTCAGTCTACCAATTTTTTTCTAAAAAGGCTTAGTTGGCGTTTATAGCTCCACTACATTTTGCTGATTTTGCCATAAAAATTCATAGAGAACATCGACTTGCACTTCCAGCCCCCAATTTAAAAACGTGTTTATTTCTTGATTGTTAATATTTTTTAAATCCTGATTTTGAAAGCCGAGTCTTTAATAATAAGTAAAAGAATTCAGAACTGGTACCGCAACCTGACGTTCAGAATACTTTGCAGTGAAGTGGGTTGCCTATACTAAGCCAGGGGATTTAAAACAATTTGTATTTTAAATTCAAATTATGATCGCGCGAAATGAGTGCGCTGTTGTCGAGTTAAAGGTAGAAATATTACAGTGCGAGTCGAAATTTGTAAGCAACTAAATTTTTGGATTTAATTAAAATAATCTAAATTTATTTGGTACATAAGCAATCTATGAATATAATGATGATTTTACGATACTTAACACTTATTGTAAATGAATTTTTATTAGTTTGTTCTGTATATTTCTGTAATGTGGTCATTTTTACCTTGTGTCCTGTACATTACAATTTTTTATTGGTTATCTGATAGACAAAGATGATTATAGTTAAATATGCAGACAAAAAACTGTCAGCTTTACTTGGGAATATTACGATGAAAGTATAAAAATGTAATAAAGCAGTAATAGTCAAGGAGATAGATGCTTCTTAATCAAAAATAGCGATTGATTAATAAGAAAAGTAATGTACCCACCACCTTTTTTTAGTAAACATATAGTAACAACGATAGGAAAAAAGCAATGAATTTTTAATTTTCTGTCCAAAGATTGAGTAATTTGTTAACAGTTACTTCTTTCGTAGGCATCGGAAGTCTTCAAAAAGTACTATGACATTTTTTTAAATTACTAGTAGTGGTTAATATGCAATATTAATGTGAAAATTAATTTTAGATTTTCCAACCATTACAAATTCCCTCATTAACCTGATAGATGGAAAATTGAAAATGAATTTTCACATTAATATCTTCAAAAAGTATTGTATTTTTAAAAAATCCGTGTTTACTTGCCAATGTAAATAAATGAAGTTTTAGTTATATAATTCTTTAAAAAAAAATAACATGCAAATGAAAATGAAAATTTCCCACTCTTATGCCAGTGAAAGGTGCTTATCAATTTTTTCACAACCGTTTTGTAACTAAAACTTCTTACGTTCCTGTATAAGGTGAATAGGTATTAAAGTATTTAATGAAAACCAAAAGATAACAGCACATAAAAGTACAAACTAAATACAAATTTTAGGTGGTGACATATTCATTTAGAAATACTCCAACTTTTTAATAACTAAAATCCACAGATCAGATAAATTCAAGTGTAAATTAATTTATTTATCCTGTGTTTTAACGTTGTTTATCGTATATTCTACATGAAAGCCATTATAATTTGGGAACAGGAAATTTAAACCACAGAAACCGTTT